TTCAGCAAACTGTGCTGGCAAAATTGGACGGCTACATGCAAAAAAGTGGGCTCAGATCTCTGCCTAACACCATGCACAAAAGTAAGATCAAAATGGATTTATGACCTCAACATCAGACCAGAATCCATAATGTTTATTGAAGACAAAGTCGGCAAAACTCTCCATGATATTGAAGCTAATGGTATCTTCAAAGATGTCACGCCACTGGCTGAGCAAGTGAAAACAGAGATAGACAAATGGGACTATCTTAAACTAAGAAGCTTCTGCACCTCCAAAGAAACAGTGACCAAAATACAAAGACAGCCTACAGAATGGGAAAGGATATTCACCACGTACACATCCGACAAGGGGTTGATATCAAGGATCTACAAGGTACTGGTTAAACTCCACAAGAAGAAATCACCCAACCCCATCAAAAAATGGGGTGAGGAAATGAACAGAAACTTTCGCAAAGAAGAAATTCGAATGGCAAAAAGGCACATGAGAAAATGCTCTACATCACTAATCATCAGAGAGATGCAGATCAAAACCACAATGAGATATCATTTCACACCACAGAGACTGGCCCACATCCACAAGAACAAAAGCAACCGGTGCTGGCGCGGATGTGGCGAGAAAGGGACCCTCCTTCACTGCTGGTGGGAATGCCGGCTGGTCCAACCCTTTTGGAAAACAGTATGGACGACTCTCAAAAAATTAGAATTTGATCTGCCATTTGACCCAGCTATAGCACTCCTGGGAATATATCCCAGAGAGGCAAAAAGGTATAGTCAAAGTGACATCTGCAATTGTTTGTTCATTGCAGCACTCTTTACAATAGCCAGAATCTGGAAAAAACCTGAGTGCCCAAGAACAGATGACTGGTTAAAGAAACTTTGGTACATTTACACAATGGAGTACTATGTAGCTGTTAGAAAAGATGAAGTTATGAAATTTACATACAAGTGGTACTACATGGAAAGTATCATGTTAAGCGAAATGAGTCAGAAAGAGCGGGATAGACACAGAAAGATTGCATTCATCTGGGGAACATAAAGCAACAAAAAGGGAGAGTGACACACAGGAATGGCTGAGATTAGTACCAGGAATTTTGCTCCATGAATGGAAGGCCAGCCACAGGCTCTAGGTGAAAAGGAAGCTCAGATAGAGAAGAGAGTACCAAATGAAGGGTGTTGTGAGGGCCCTCCCAGGGTGGGAGAAGCATGCTAAAAGTAGTCGATAGACCAAACATGATTGCCACTCAAAGCCTCTCTTGCAAAACACAGTACCCAAAAGAAGAGAGAGAGAACAAGGGGGAATACCCTGCCACAGAGGCAGGATGGGACGGGGGGGGGGGGGGGGGGGGGGGGGATGAGGGGGGGGGATGCTGGGACCCATGGGGATGGATGACGGGCACTGGTGGAGGTATGGGGACTTGATCATTGTATAACTGAAACCCAAGCACAAAATTTGTAAGCCTATAACTGTACCTCATGGTTTTTCACTAATAAAAAAAAAAAAGAAAAAAAAAAAAGTTTTGGGCTTGATAAAACCAGAGTTGAATAACTAGTTCTTTAAAGTTATTTCTAATTCACTGTTAGAAATAAATATTTCTGCTGGTGATAAAAATTAATATAATTTTTCTTGTGGTCTTTCAGGGAAAATTTACTAAAAATAAAAATGCATTTGCTCGAGCGGGCCCAGTAACGTCTCCATTGGAGATGTACGTAAAATATACATGGTTATTTCTAAAATTTTCCCCTAAGATGATCCAACAAATCAGTAAATATATTTGCATGGTGAGTTTTGAATTCTGATATTTGTTCATAATCATAAAAATAGTAAAAAATTCTTTCAACAGGCAATTGATAAAGTAATGGGAAGATACAACAGATCTCGAAGTATGATGAAAAATCATATAGCTAAGTATTTGATATGGATAACATGATACTGGCAGAAAAGCATACAGTACATATGGTATCTACAGATGATGTAGACACACGTACCAGTATACATAAGAGGCACAAGAAAAAGAGAGTTAAAAGAAATAAGTCACAAACAGGTTCACAGATTTTTACTTGTTGCTTCGAGTTGTCTGTATTGTTTATATTATTTTAGAATGATTAATTTTACATAGCTTTTATAATTTGAAATTAAAGTCCTTAGGATGCAAATGTGAGCCCTGATCCATATACAGGCATTAAAGGATATTGTTGTATCAATACAGGTTCATCAGCTGCAGCCAAAGAACCACTCCTGGCCCAGATGCTGATACATGGAGAAGCTGTGCCTGTCACCAAGCAGGAGGCTACAGAAACTCAGTATGTTCTGCTCAGTTTTGCTGTGAACTGAATGCTCTTCTTAACAAATACTCTCCTTTTAAAAAGAGATGTCATTAGAACAATTTATATGTAAACAATTAAAAGTTCTGTTTATCAGAAGAAATTTGAGTCCCAACAGAAGAGAATCTGGAAGCTTCTAACAGAAGTGGTTTCAGAATACTGCCAATCACACAGTATGAGTGGTACTAGTTAAGGAAAATATTCAATGAATTTCCAAGTTTACAGTAGGATAGCAATTATAAGTAGAAAATGACTAAAGAATGTGTTTTTTTGAGAACTAGGTTGTTTTGGATTTTTTTTTTTTTTGCACTCCAAAGATGCCCTACTGTTTCTCTCCTGTTATTTCTGATTTACTAGAATGTTTTCTGTGTATGCTAAGACTTGAGACTGAGTTAGATAATCAAGGGCTCAAGAAAAGCAATTTAATACTTTGTCTTAGATTAGCTTGAAAATGACATTCTAGCTGAGACAAAAAGACCAAGCTGCTAAAAAGATAAGCTGATCTTAAGGGGTTTTAATGGAATAACGAATTGGAAGATTGGATTTTAATGATAAGCAGTTTGTTACATTAATAAGAGGCATCCTGAGGATAAAACAAAGGATAGAATAAATTATAAGGAAACACTAAATTACAGTCACATTTTAATTTTCCGCTTTATAAGGAACATGTATACTATAACATCCTTTCTGTTCTGTGCCAAATACATGTTACTGTATGTACAATTTATTTTAACAGAATAATGGCAAATACTGCTTTACAGAATAATACCAACCTTTTAATCAGAACTATTTGAATGCACCCAGACTTTTTTTTTTTTCGGAATAAAAAGTTATAGTGCTGGCAAAAACAAAATCTTTAAAATTTACTAAAATACTGGCAATGCCATAATTCACAAACTGATAAAGTACATAAAGAAAAGGATTTTAAGTTCCCAATGGGATGCTATTAAGTTTGTAGTAGAAACTGAATTCCTAGTATATGATGGCTCCAGATTATAATTTTTACCAAGCTGCTAGGAATTCATACCACACTGAATTTCAATAGAAATGAAAATTCATGACTATATTAATAATTTATACAATATGTCTATCCAGCAATATCAAACTATCAAATTGAATAAAATATATACCCTAAAATATAGACCAAATTAACCTGAAAAATATACCTTAAAATATTCACCAAATTAAGTTGAAAATAGATTTGCATTCAAGTTTGCATTTGTTTTGTTTTTTTTTGTTCACAGCACTACAAGAGGGATTACCTGGTTCTCTAACATTATCCTTATGATGAGTGCTAACTTGGTAAAGCATATTTGCTAGTTTCCCTTGAGAAATTTCTAAAACCAAAGTTACAATTTATTTTGTCACAAAATTTTGTGGTCAAAACATTTTTAATCATTCAGGCTTTATCTTGAGTAATTAACATCATTTTTGGCTGGCCAGTTTTTCCACAAACAGTATGCCCTTTTACCTCAAAAATGGTAAGAAAGTATAAAATGTAATTATATTTGTAGTAAAACCTTTGTTTCCTGAGGCCTCTTGGGTTAATTGCCAGACCTATTATAAGGAATTCATAGCAAAGAAACTCAAAATTACTGGGAATAAAATTGGAATTTTCAAATTAAGAAACACTGTCTAGAGCATTGAGAAAAATAATAACATCTTTCAAACATACAAATGCCAAAGAACTGCTTGATGGAAAGTATCCAGGCACTGCCTAGGCATATTTTATTTTTAGGCTTTTATATATCTGTGGGTGAAAAACAGATGTGATTCAATTTAGGACAATTTGAGAGGAATGCTGCTTACCACCAAAATACTCAGCATTGAGTTAGAGTAGGTAAGGCGCTTCCAAGATCACCAGCCTGACCTAAATTCAACATAGAGGCTGAACTCACATGCAACTCCTTAACAGAGAATAACAGCAAACTATCTTCACAGTTGTTTCCCTAAGATATTTTTAATTCTCCTCACTTTAAAAAGAAAAGAAAAAAAGGTGATAAGACCCCAAAACTATTTTCAGGTCACAAAGGTCACAAAGTTAAAAGACTATTTGAACCCTCATAGTACAAGGAAAATATTCTTATTCCCCCACAGTTAGGCAGAAAACCTAAATTTTACTTCACCATTGGCATGGTTCGAAACTAGTGGGACCAAGGAGCAGCAGGTCACCTCTGAAAGGGATATGCCAAGACTATGCTCTGGCTTCCGGGATTGTTTCAAGAATGTTTGAAAAGAACATAAAGAAATCCTTTCAGAAAGGTCAAAAGTGCCATGTACAATATATCCAACTCTGAATATTCCAGTAACACATAGATTACTTTCTAAAGCACAGAGAAGACTTGAATAGTGTCTCACTTGCAGCCACCTTGGAGTGTCACTGATGCTTGTCTATCTTGGAAGCCTTAAAATGACACATTCACACAGGAAGTCAAGTCTTGGCTGCAAAGCAAAACATCCTGAACAAGGCAATACAAAGAGTGGATATGACATTTATTGTTAAGGACAGCCAAGCAGTTTCAAAATACAAACGTAAACAGCAGTCTGTAACCAAGGAAACATATTTTTCTTTTTAAAAATATACTTGATTTTAAAGAACATGAGATGACTGCTTTAATTTCAAATGTCAGATCCAGAGTCAATAGGATGATTTCTTTAAGAACCAGAAGTCTTTCTTACCTCCCACATGTAAACATTATTCTTAACCTGAGATCTTTTTTTCTTATCACCAACAAATGGCCCAAACTTTTTGCCTTTTACAATTGGTTTAGTGGCCCAGACACCTAGAAAATAAAACCAATTATTTTTATAATGTATAAGGTTAGCTTAAAAATTTAAAGCATTCAAATCAATTCAATTTTACAAATAATTACAAGAATGAATTCCCTAAAAGACAATGTCAAATCAAATAAAGTCAGATATTAAAATTAAATCAAGCCTTGAATATGGATTTTATTTCTCTTACTTTTGTGCTTCCCAAATTATAAAGAACCTGTTTTATAAGTAGCAATTGTTATATTTGTTTTAAAGAATTACATGAACTGGGGCTGGAGCAATAGCACAGCGGGTAGGGCGTTCGCCTTACATGCGGCCAACATGGCCAACCCGAGTTCGATTCCTCCGCCCCTCTCGGAGAGCCCAGCAAGCTACCGAGAGTATTTGATATGCCAGACACAGTAACAAAGTCTCCAATGGAGACGTTACTGGGCCCGCTCGAGCAAATCGACGATCAACGGGAGGGCCTTTACCTTTACCTTTACATTTAGAACTAGAGTGTACTATAAAAGAATACAATCACAAGAATTAGAGAAAAATAGTGGTTTGCACAAAACCTTAAATAATTTTTTGTTTATGGGCCACACTCCTTACTCAGTGCTCAGGGATCATTCCTGTTGGTGCTCAGGGGACCATATGTGGTGACAAGTATCAAACCTGGGTCAGATGCATGCAAGACCACTGCCTTCCCACTGTACTATCTCTCTGGCCTCCCAAATTAATTTTTATCTTTTTTTGAGCCACACCCAGCTGTGCTCAGGGCTTGCCCCTAGCTCTGTACTCAGGAGACCATATGGGATGCCAGGGATTGAATCCAGGTAGGTCAAATGCAAAGCAGGTTCCCTATCCACTGTATTATCATTCAGGCCCCAAACTTAAATAATTTTTAAGGTTTTCTTTCTGTTTTTAAATTTAAATTTTTTTCCAATGGAGACATGTTTCTTTCTAAAAAAAAGATAAAAAAAAATAGGGGACTGAGGTGATAGTACAGTGAGTACAGCACTCACCTTCACAGTCAACTCAGTTTTAATCCCTAGCACCCATATGGTTCCCTGAGCCCACTAGAAGTGATACTTGAGCACCATTCCAGAAGTAAGCCCTGAGCACAGGTCCAAAACACGCCCCCCCCCAAAAAAAATAGTCTTATGAATAAATATTTTCACCTAAAATTCTTTCTAGTTAAGCTTGCAAAATTTCAAACAACCAAGAAAATGACGCTCTATTTCTGCTTTCTTTGCACTAATCGTAAGGCAAAGAGATCATATGAAATAGCAGTAAAATGATAGGCACTCAGGGTCAAGGGGGCCAGCGCCCAGTTAGTGACTCTCACTGCCATCACTTGGGCCAGGTTCCCTCATGGTTTGACCTCAGGATGACCTTTTATAGTAGATAAAGGTTATGTTATGTCAGACCTATCCAGCTAGGATGTTCAAAAGCCACTTTTCTGTAAGTCTGCTCATTAACCTCATTTTATAATATCACTAAAATGCTAATTAGTTGAGTATAAAATCTAATGATTTTCAAGTGAATGATACAATATAAATGATCAAACTGCTCAATGAATTTTTCTATGAAAATTGGCAAAAACATCCCAAATCTATTCATATGCAGCTACACATAAACTGAAATATCTGAAGTGCATCTTTCTAAAATAACAGATAGGATATCAGTATAATATAGACCAAGATCAGCTTTAGCTACATTTTCATAATTTATTTCAATAGCCTTTGCATAAAGATAGGACATAAAAAACTAGACTCATACATTAGGCTATACCAATGAAATATCTATGGCTCATAGTCAATGAAATATCCCAGTAAGAAGTACTTAAGCCATGCTGTTCATTTATCTACTGAGTTCCAAAAAGCAAAAGGTACCAGAGACAAAACAGATACAAATGATATTAAAACAATAAAAATCAATGAAACAAAAGATGAGAAAACAACTGCAAAATAATTGTGTGTGTATGTGTGTGCATCTCAGATTAAATCTGATAAGGGTTCCAAACTTATTTGTTCTATTGTCCCATTCTCAGGAGTTGAGGAGCAGGGGGTATTTAGTCCCCTAGAAATCTACCTTCTTTCAGCAAACAAACAGAAAGTGCCCCCAATAGCACTGGAGGCTATTGTTGCTACCCCTGCAAGGAATCACCTACTGTAAGAAACTGGTCTAAGTCTAACCTGAGTTGTTTTTTTTCTTTTTCAGTTTCTTGAGGGCCATACCCAGATGTGCTCGGGGCCTATCCTGTGCCCTGGTAGGTACACAGGGGAACTTTTGCTGTACCAGGGCTCAAACCAGAGTCACAGCTGAAATGCCTGCCTACAAGGCAAGTACCTTTCCTGCCGTACTCTTTCTCCAGCTCTGTCCTGAATTTTTGACTAGAACTATGCATAACATCATACAATCTAAGTCCAAGTTAAAGCTGTTACTTTATGAGGAGCTTCCTACACCAAATACCCAAAGGAAACACTGCCTTCCCTTTTCAATCTTCCTCTGGGTCCTTAGGACTCACCAATACGAGTCTTGTCAACAGCAGATGGGAAAAGCCTTACTTCCTCTGGGAGTCCTCGAAGCACATGTTCAGGTACCTCAGCCAGGGTTTCAGGGGCTGACACAGGTTCAGCAGTGTTCTGCAAGTTAAAATTTGGAAAAAAAAAAAAAAGGAAGAAAGAAAAAGCAAGAATATTTGGTTAGCGTTCATTTTTTCAGGTCCAATAAGCAAATATGCAAAAAATATGAGTGAAACTTGTAGCTGGCAAGCCAGACAACGATGACATCAAGCACTTCAAGAGTTGCTTTGATGCTTGTTTGTGAGTCTCCAAAGGAAACCACTGCAACCTCCACATGTGTCTGTATTAATCTAGGCTGCTCCAGCCACCTGTAGCCATTTACAAAATATGTAAATCTCTGATCCCAGACTGCTTTAAATTCCCAGAGAAAAACAGACATTGTTCTGGCAGCAAAACAAATGTAAGTTTACTTTTAAGTCAAAGGCTATGGTCAACAATTTTAGAAAGTTGAAGAAGTGATCAATACTCCCTACTATTAAATGACTACTTCAGTCCATGCCAGTCAACTGGACCCCAGTCCATCCAGACTTTTATCCCTCCAAAACAACAGCATCTTGGCAAAGGCTTGAATATTCCAACTAAGAACACAACAACTTCTTCAGGGCCCTAGGTGGAAGAAAAAAAGTGATTTACCACTATACACGGAGTCACGGAATAGCACAATGAGCACAGCAGCACAAAGGTGCTATTGGAGAATTTTCTACGACTACTAATCAAAATTTATGCTAGACCCCATTGTATTTTTTTAACCACTTATATTTTATCTTAATTTTTGCAGTGCTGGGAATAGATCCCACGGCCTTCCACATACAAGACACATGACTCTCCCACATCCCTGACCTCTGTAATTTTTAAAAACAAGATTTCATTATTCGTATTTTTTTTTAATTTTAAAGATTATTTAAAAAATAAGATTCCATACATGTAAGGTGATAAAGGGGCTCGGGTGGGAGATTTGAGCCAACTGATAGAAAATGACTGCTACTTGAAAAATTACCTTCAAATCAAAGAAAAACTGTTAACTAGTACCATTATATCTAAAATACTGTTGTGCAAAATAAGACACATCTAAGAATGATAGGTTTGTAGCCTGACTGTATCTTTCAGTGCAAAAGGAAACTTTTCCAAGGACTTTCAAAAAACCAATATGGCAAAAGAAAAGTCCAAGCTGAAAAAAATTAATTTTCCCACAACAATGAGGCTCTTGTTTTTAAGAACAGTTTGTGCCAAGAAAGGAGTATCATTCAAATTTGGATAGTCCAAGGTTTCATTTTTTTCTTTCTTTTAGCATCAAAAGGCTGCTTTAAGAGAAATCAGTCCAGACACAGGGACAGGCAAGCCATTAAGTTGGTCTAATCTCTGGCCTGTTTTGAGTTGGAAAAGTGGACATCTAGAAACAGAGGCTTATTTCTTAGACAATGCTATGCAAATAGAGCACAAAGAAGCAGAAATGTTCCCATTTTATTTAAGTTACACACTTGTCCTTAAAAAATCACCAAACTCAAACCAAAAGCCTTCTAAAACAAGGGAATATTAAAATTGTCCCAAAAAAAGCAATTTTACTGCATTTTTAACTAAGTAGTATGACTAAAATCAAAACACAAATTTATCACTTCTAAACACAGTACTCTCATTTCTTCTGGCTTAAACTGGATTTTTGGAAACATGTATCTATTTTTATCAAAGGTGACTGGGGGTGGGGGGGTCAGTTAAGGAAACAAATGGATAATTGGTATCTAGGGCTACATAATAAATTACTTTGTAACACCGATCTAGCTGAAGTTATGAGCCCTATCAGCACATAGCCATTGTGTATAATAAGAGAATTTTCTTCTTCTCCACAAATAACAACACTTCAGCCAACATGTAGAAAGTTTGACACCATTTAACTTCCCCAGAAGCTTTGAAAACAGCATCCATGAACCTAAGCTGACAAAGCACAGTTACAATAACTTACTAGAGACTCTCACTGCAGGGCACCAGACTACCCGAGACAGGGCCTGCCAGAGCATCTCACAAGCGTCCCTCACACTCATCCAGCCCGAAGTCCTGCCCTGCACCCTCTCTCCTACTGCCCCTCAGCCAAGCTCCCAAGCTCCCAACTGTGTTGTTTCCAGTTAAGATTCTGTTGAATAAGGTCTGAACATCTAGCATAAAATATGGTGACTAGGGTCGATGCTTCTGTATTATAGAATTGCAATTTACCAAATGCAGAAAATATTTTTTCATACATACAGATAAATGAGAAGTGATGAAAATTAACAAGATGGTGAGAATTCTTTCATAATGCATCCATGATCGCAAATCAACGTGCTTTTTAAGTATTTTACAATTTTTATCTGTCAAATGCCTCAATAAAGCTGAGAAAGGAAATTCTACTGGAATATAATCTGAGAACCTCTGACCTAAAACCTCCAAACTTCCATGGAAATGTCAGCAGGAGATGGCGCCTAAGGCAGAAACAGTCATTCCTTCTCACAGGAAATTTGTAACTTGAGCATAACCGGCTACCATGCACATTAAAATTTCTAAAACACCTGTGAATATAAAGGACCTCAGTGGAGCTACCATGGGAAAAAGAAATAAGGAAAAGTTCTAGGCACTTAATTACCTGCTTTCTGACAATCCAAAGATAAAGGCCCTCCCGTTGGTCGTCGATTTGCTCGAGCGGGCCCAGTAACGTCTCCATTGGAGACTTTGTTGTTACTGTGTCTGGCATATCGAATACTCTCGGTAGCTTGCCGGGCTCTCCGAGAGGGGCGGAGGAATCGAACTCGGGTCGGCCATGTTGGCTGCATGCAAGGCAGACGCCCTACCCGCTGTGCTATCGCTCCATTATTTCAAAATTGAGGTTCTTTATCTAATAGAGACAGTTTTTTCCTATATGGCGCAGCACTGGCGTCCTCCGTACTACAATAGGGCCAGTTCGATCCCCATGCAGCCATCCAAACACTGGCAGCTCCAGGGCCTTGCCCCGTCCCTGCTAGCTGCAGTGGCTACTGCTGAAAACTGCCCGAATGAATCATTTTCAGAAAATCAGTGACTTGAGAAATAGAAGATCCTATAAACAGAATCATCTTCTCTCCTTCCTTATTTTTCCTTCAGCTCTTACCACTATTTTATATGATTATTTCTATGATTATGTGTTTAGTGTAGCTGCCCCTAGGCTATGATGAGACAAAGGGTGGCTGCCTTATTCACTGGCACGTTACCAATGCTTACCAGTAGACATGAAATGTTGTTATCTAAATAACTGAATGAATAAGTGACTCTTGTCAGCTAACTTTAAAGCTCTTCTCAAAAAAGGGAAAATAGAAATAAACATAATAGCAGGGCTATGTATCAAAGTACTTTCTACATGTATGCCTGAATGTCTAAAATCGGTGATAGGTATCCTAGGTCAATGGATGATTCCTTTATTAAAAATAAAGGATTATTTTATTTTGAAACATTTTCTGTGCCAAACAACCAATTTATAAGTAAACCTCTGTAACAAGAGAACATTTAAATCTCACTTAATTTAAAAGTTTCTCACTGCCAACACTCATAACTAGCATTTCTTTTTTCACACATACCCTAATAGTATTAGATGAAGAAACAAATTCCAAAGAATCAGTTTAAGCCAGGGAGTTACTACAAAGGTTAAGGCACTTGCCTAGCATACCATCAACCCATCACCGTCAATCCCCGTCACTGCATATGGCCCCCAGAGCACTGACAGGAGTGATCCCTGATCACAGAGCCAGAAGTAAGCAAGCTCTGAGCACTGAAGGGAATGACCCCTATGCCCCCAACTCCAATAAAATGTTTATGTCCAAAAGAAATCATAGCATCTACTCAATCAATCAAAACATTTCCAAGTTCTTACTATGGGCAAGACAATGTTTGAAGTATCACTTTGTGCCAGTCTAAAGAGAAGAGAGACAAAAGCAAAAATATACTGGGTTTGGTAGTTCCTGAGAATCTGAAAATCAGAAGGGAGCAAGATGGAGCATGGGCAGAATGGACTCGCAGTCAGTGCTCTGAACTAGGAAGAGAACCATATAAACATGGGAGGAAAACATTCCTGTGAAGACCAGCACTGGGCCAGGAATCTGGCTGAAAGCAGTGGAATACATGCCTAGCATGTTTGATGCCGAATTTAATCTCTGGCACTGAGTGGGCCCCAAAAAAACTTCCTGGTGTGGCCCCAGTGGCCCTAGCACCATTGGGCCTCCAGTACCACACACAGCCAGGGCCCAAACAAGCACAGAACTTACGTCTGACCCTTACTACTGGATCAAGTGTCAACAGGGGTAGCCCCTACTGAAGAAGGAAATCAGTAGCAGAGACCAAATTCGGAGTTAATTATAATCCTAGTGTGATCAGAAAGCAGCTGGGCAAGAAGGCAAAGTGTCCAGGGCAGTGGAAAGGAGAAGAGAAGTTAGAGCGATGATACAGGGTCAATGCCTAGAGATCTCCATCACTGGTTTCAGAGCTACACAGAAGCATAGATTAACCACCAGCGGCCAGACTGCAAGCTCTAGGAAGGAGCCGCCACTGCTCCTCCCAGCATTACAGGAAGCCTCATGGCACCTCGCTTCTGTTGTCCAGAATATGGGTACCTTCCAGTGGAAAAAGATTTCTGACCCTGATTAGTCTGATAGAATCCCAGAAATTGACAAGGATTTTGACACATTTCTTTTATGAAATAGGAAATAAAAGAACTCTTCAATTCACAGCTGCTTAATGAAGCACCATCTCCAACTATATCAACGAAATGATCTGAATCAACAAACTGATCTTCCTGGCAATCTCTGGGTCTAAACACAAATAATAACACTGATTAAGAAGTATTTTCTAAAGCAAACCCAGACTTGTTATGGCTGAAAATTAGAATGGTGATGATGCTAATGAAACTCACACCATGTTTCCTATCTACCAGGCACCAGCCTAAGTGCTTTACCTTCACTGACTCGTTTTTCTCTTGACCACAACTGCTTGGCATGAGCAGTACTAACCTACTTAAGAAGTAAGCAAATACCAAAAAAATCAAGTGTCCAAGGTGACTTGTCAAGGTA